GTTTGTGTGTGTACATATATATATACACACATACACACATATGTGTGTATATATATATATATAAACTGAACCTAAAAAGAAAGATAAATTAAAGGATGATAATTTTTCATTAGATTCTCTTTCCAAAAAGATTCACTACCAAGTTCTTCAGAAAAGCAAATTTCCCTATTGTATTTAATCTTTTTTAATTAATTCAGTTAGAAATTGTTAGAAGCACATGTGTTGTGTGCTGTTGTTTTTGTTGTTGTTTTCTGAATTTTTTCCCTGTAGGTCCACTCTGGGAGTCACTTTGTAAAACAGCTGTGAGGCTTTCAAAAATAAAGGCATCTCCTGGATTATTAGTTTTTCTTTATATTATTTTCATCTAAGCCCCACTCCAGGCTTCCCCAAACCACACAAAAAGACAAAGGGTTGCTTAATCTTTGTTGAACTTCTGAAAGTCAAGATTGGGGATTACCCCTTCCAGAATTACTCTGGAGCAAAGTCTGTGCCCAAGAAGTTGGGAAAGAGAAATGTTGGATACAACTGTGTCCAGTGAGAAACCCACCATGGAACCCTCTGGGCTGACTTTAGCCCAGTACTCCTGACCTTGAGCACACGATGAGAGGAATGCTAACTAGATGCGTTCCACAGGCCTCACCAGAACCCCGACTCTGGGCCTGGAAGTGGAGGTTTCAGTGAACCAACAGTCAGTCCCTCCACAAAAGCAGGCTTCTGGTATAACAACTGAGGCAATAGGGTCATTCAGCAGTGCCACATAGGGGATAACCTTGGCTAGCAGCCCACCTATTCTTTTCCCACCTTTATCAAAATCACATTTAATTACAGTAGGCTGCACTGTATGTTAGCAACATCCATGGATGGGCAAAATCAAGTAAAGTAGTAACATGGCACTGATATGCAGAGCTCTGGGGCAGGCAGCATTAGTATGGGTCTAAGTGGAGAAAAGATCGATCATTAGCAACTAATTTCTCCCCCAGAACTGATGCAGTGATTAGGCAAGAGAATAAGGTCATGGTCTATGCATGTCACTGGCCTACTTTCAAACACACCGTTGCCTTATTAAAAGTCAAGCAGAAATGAAGGGTACAGCATCAAGTTAGTACAAAGTCAATCCTACCTCTGATATTCAGGGCTTCGGACTTTTTCTCCTTTCTCATAGTCTCTTCAGGCTCATTGTGAGTATTCAGGGAATCACCTGCATTCAAAGAAGAAACCTTGTGTTGTGTATGAGTTCTACAAACAAAAAGAACCAATAGACTCAAAATGAAGTTCTGTTACTTTAAATTCCTACTAGCTTATGGGAAATCCTACTTCTGCACACACACAGCCCAGCACAGTACACTTTGGCCTCATATTAGCCTTGTGATCCACCTTTGGACTTCATTCACACCTCCTCTCCAGTGAAAATAAAAAGGGGGCAAGTGGGAGCCCACCCCCCACCCCCAAAATCCATAACATCCAAGGGGACAGAAGGACAGGGCAAAGGCGAATGGACAAAACAAAGTTCGGCAGCAGTTAATGAAGGGGACGAGGGTTGGGTAGGTCTTTCCGTTGCCCAATAATGAGGTCTGATTTTCAAGAAAATCAATACTCAGGCGGGGGATGGGAGGGAGGCTAGTAGGGCCCCATGATTCAGGAGGGGTAAAAAAAAGGAAAAATTGTAGGGAATATGTTAACTTAGCATTAGGGAAGTAAAGTGGGACTGTAATGGAAATGGATTTAAATAGGGGGGGAAAAAACCCAGCAGGCAGGAAGAAAAAGAGGGCGTGGGCGAGGAGGGTGGGACCGGCGGCC